CCCGGGAATGGCCGGAGAATGGCCCGGGAATGGCCGGAGAATGCCCCGGGAATGGACGGAGAATGTCCCGGGAATGGCCGGAGAATGGCCCGGGAATGGCCGGAGAATGCCCCGGGAATGGCCGGAGAATGCCCCGGGAATGGCTGGAGAATGGCCCGGGAATGGCCGGAGAATGCCCCGGGAATGGTCAGAGAATGTCCCGGGAATGGCCAGAGAATGCCCCGGGAATGGCCGGACAATGCCCCGGGAATGGACGGAGAATGGCCCGGGAATGGTCAGAGAATGTCCCGGGAACGGCCGAAGATTGCCCCGGGACCGGCTGGACAATGCCCCGGGAATGGCCGGACAATGCCCAAGACCGGGACAATCCCCCAGGACCGGCCGGACAATTCCCCCGGACCAACCGGAGCGGCGCCGCTCCCCCGKCTGTGCCCGCAGAGCCCTGCGGAGGTGCCCGCGCTCTCCACATCCCTGTGACCCAAAAACGCGTTCCCAGGCTGAGGGAAATGTGTGSCGGCCAGCTGGCACCCGGCGGTTCCTCCTCGGGCAGCGGGAACGCTGCTCGGAGCCCTCCCCGGCCGAGGCAGCGGAGAACAAGGGGGTTTGTTCCCGAGTCCCCGAGGATGAAGCGCGGCTCCCTCCCTCTGCCAGCGGCGCGGGTGACGCGCCCGGGTGACAAAGGACTCGCAGGAACCTTTTCAAAGAGCCCTTGGAAAGCCCCGGCGACGCCTCGTCCATCACCCGGCCCCGCTCAGCCCCGGCACCCCGGATTCCCCCGAGCCCAGCGCGGCCCTGGCAGCGCCAAGAGCAAACAAATTTGGGATGAAAAAGCCCCTTTTTTGCTCAAAAAAGCGGCGCCCCCCGCCCACCCTCACCCTCTGCCAATAGCCTGGAGCGAGGCAGAGCGAGGCAGGGCCAAGGGTCGGACTCTGACCCTCCACGTCCCGGTCCCCCTTCCCCTCCCACCGCTGCCTTCCAAGGAGGTGCCAGAAAATCAGGGAATGGCTCCAGAGCTGCCTGGGGACAGCGGCCAGCGTGTCCCAGCCCCCTGCAAGGCCCTCCCCGGGCACGGCTGTGTCCTTCTTTCTTCGCTTCTGATGGCCAGAAGGGATGCAGAGGATGTTGGACCCCATGGATAGCGAGGAAGAAGAGCCCCCCAGACCTTTGTGTCCCCAAAACCAAGATCCCTATGTCCCCCAAAGCCACAATGGCACCAATCTTTCTGTGTCACCTCCACAGGGTCCATGGTGGGCACAGGATGGGGCTCCCCAGCCCCAAATGATGTCCAAGCTCCATCCCCAAGCCTTGCTGCCTTTTCCTGGGGATCCCAAAAAGCCAAACCGCATCCCTGCTCCCTCAGAGGTGCCAGTTCCTCCTCAGGCCACCATCCCTGGTCCCAAACCCCATCCCATTGGGAAGAGACCCAGCACCCCACAGACATTCCCACTGAATAATGCAAGGATCCGAATCAATATTTCAGCTCATTTTTAAACTTGGTGACACAAAACTGTCTCAGAACTCTTTCTTTTTTTTTTTTTTTTTCCCTCAGCTCAGCACTGTCTCGCTGCACTTCCCGAGTTATTTTTAATGGGGAATCTGCATGAGACCGAATTTTGTGACATCCCCCTGCCTTTCATCACGGGCTGGATCCAGCAGGAGCGATGACAACACTCGGCATCCCGGGCAGAAACGGAGCTGGGGAATGGCTGAGTTTGGCTCATCCATCCCTGGGGTGTAGGAGGGTCCTCAGCACACAACAGGAGGGGCATTTTGGGGCAGAACGGGTCTGTGAGAAGCGATGGATACGGCAGGAATCCGGTATGCCTGCATCTCCCAGCCCCAGGGATTTGGGATTTGGGATTTGGGATTTGGGATTTGGAATTTGGGATTTGGGGCAGGGCCAGCCGCACCCTACACATTTGCCTATCCCAGCCCCAGACGGTGCATTCTCAAGAGCCATCATTTGAATCAACTGGTTCTTCCAGCCCCGAGATCCCCGGGATGGCACGGCCGGATCCACACGCACCCCGTGCCAYGGGGCAGGCGGGGACAGAGGGCACCCACGGCCACTCCTGACCTGGTGGAACCCACCCGTGTGCCAGGGGCTGTCCCTGGTGCTCCCTGTCCGTGTCCCCACGGACATCGGCTGGCATCGGGCACTGCTGGTCACTCTCGTGCCCACTCAAGTGAGATTAAAGCCAGGCCCAGGGTTTCTCTCGGAACAACAGCCAGGGACAGCCAGGCCAGGGCTCAGCAGGAGCCCCTGAGCCCAACCCCGAATCCCCGAATCCCCGTTTGCCCSGGCAGGAGCAGATCAAAGGCGCCCGGAGCCCGGCAGACACAGATCAAAGCCCGCGATGGCCGTTTGGCCCCGGTGAAGAACCAAATGCCGCCTTCGGTGCCTGAATTCCCCCGTCCCCCCTCCCCAGCCATCCTGCAGCAGGGTCCCCCCACCCCTCCGAGCCAAGCTGGGTCCATCCCTGTCTTTGTTTCTGTTTCCCATCCCCGTTCCTTCCCCTGTCAGCAGCAAGGGACGCACAGGGCAGTGTCCCCTCCGCTCGGGGACATCRGCGCGTCGCGATGACCACAGCGATGGGCACCACAAAGGAGCAGCCCCATCTCCATCGCCCGGGCGGGGAATCCCAAACCTCCGCCGGCAAATTCCTGCCCGGAGTTCAGCCAAGGGCATTGTTTCACCGAGGGGCCATTGAGTCCTTAATGAAGCGTTTTAATGTCACCCAGCCCACGAGCTGGGGGTGACCATCACCCCTCAATCCCAGCKCTGAGGGTTTGACCCGCCCCGAGCCAGCCTGGAGAGGACAAAGCCATGGCAGGGACAAACCTCGGCCACCAAAGCCACATCCATCCCTCGCCATCCATCCCCGGGCTCCCTGGGGAGCAGTGGGGTACAGGGGTGACCCCAAAAACATCTCAGTGACCTCGGGGGAGCACAGCGAATCCCCGGAAAGTGGGGACCACCAAGGCGTTGCCTTACCTGCGACCCTGACGACAGCCCTCTCGGCCGGGTCCAGCACCGAATCCTGGCTCTTCCTCTTCCTCTGCTCGTGGAGGGGTAAATTCCAGGGCAAGGTGTCCCCGGCGGGGCACGGGGAGAGGCTGCCCGAGCGCTCGCTGCGGTAGGAGCGCTCGCTCCGGCACGACCGCTCGCTCCGGCATGAGCGCTCGCTCAGGGTCTCCTCGTCGGAGGAAGACATGGCCCAGGCCGCGGGCAGCAGGGCGGGCAGGATGTCCCCGCGGGCAGCAGCACCCTGCAGAAAGGAGCAAACAGCGTGTGACACCGGGGCCCGGCCGCGGGTGCCTCCCCGCCACAAGTGCTGGGGGTGGCGGGGAAGGGATCATCCCACGGTGGCCGTCCCTGCCCTCTCGGGCKGGTGAATCAGGTCCCAAACGCTGCCTCAGTTTCCCCCTGGCTGRGGYTCCCGGGGATGGGGACAGCGGCACKGCTGCCTCTCCAGCAGCAAAGCTCACGCTGGCATCTCCCGGCTCACTCCCACAAAGCCGAGCCCGACCTTTTGGGCTCGATTTCTTTGTGCTCGGTACGAGAAAAGGAGCATCAGCTCGGCTCTGCCCTTTGTACCTGCAGCTTTTCCCCTTCTGAGGATGGGGATGGCTTTAAAAATCCCATTAATCATGGCAGGGGAAGATGGTAGGGCTTTCTGGAGCACGCCGGGGCTGAGCCGCGCCGCGTACACACGCTGGGCAAATAAGCACCTTGCCCGAGACATATTTAAAATAAATCTCATTGTGTCCTCTAGCACGGCCAGGAAAAATGCCTGAGACTCCTACAACCGATGTGCCGCGGCGCAGGAGCCGCCTCCATCACGCCGAGCCTTTCCTTATTCCCATCATTTAATCAGCAAAACAGGAACAAAGAGACCCAAAAAAACATTGAAAGAAACGGAGAAAGGATTCCATGAGTCATTCACCCCCCATTGAAAAGCTGCGAAAAAATGAATCGCGGCCCAAAACCGCGGCTCCCCCGGCAGCCCCGGGGGGTTCAGCCTGCACCCCGCTTTTGGGGGACCYGCGGGTGTGGGGCTGCGGGGCCGGGTGGGGCTCGGTGCCCAGGGAGGGGCAGGGCCGGGGGCTGCGGGGGCTGGAGCCGGGTTTGCGGCGCGGGCGGGGGGGCAGCAGGTGCGGGAGGCAGCGGGGTGCGGGCACGGCTCTGCGGGGGCACCCGGGGCCGCTGCGGCTCCCCCGGGTCCTGCTCCCACCTGGTCCTACCCCCGTTTCACGGCACCCTCCGGTGCCCGCAGCTCCAGCCCAGCCCCAGGGGCTGCTGCCCCCCATTCCCGGTGCATCCCCGTCCCCACCCGCCGCCCTTCCGCGCTCCATCCCCGCGGCATCCCTGTCTCCTGCCCTTCCCGCTCCATCCCCCGCTCATCTTCCGTTCTGACCCGGCGCTTTCCCGTTCCATCCCCGCTGCTTCCCCGCTCCATCCCCGGCCCATCCCCGCTCCATCCGCCGCCCTTCCCCGGTCCCTCCCCGGTGCGCAGCCCCGGCCCCGCTCACCCCCCGCGGCCGCTCCGGTACCGACTCGGCGCGG